CCCCCCCCCCGGGAACCGAGGCCCCTGCCAGGACAGACCAAGCCCCCGCAAGCGGCCCTGGAATGGGCCAGGCCCCCAACTGGAGCTGCGCCTCGCCGTAACTTTCCCATCCCTGGCCAGGTTTCACGCACCCGTGCTGCAAAAAAAACCACCTCAGGGTGCAGTTCTAGGAGAGAGTTTACATCTGCTTGTAGGCCCTGAACTTGCTGAATTAAATCCTTAAGGCAAATTCTTCTCTGCCTCCTTTTCTGCTCATGCCTAACACGTAGTGTTTACCAATTCATCCTAAACAGCAGGGACCTCAGGCTTACACCCTCCTCAGGACACCACCAGCCGCCAAAGCGGCACCGGTCCTTCCCACACACTCCAAAGCTTTTCCATGCCAGTGTCAGCAGTTTTCAGGAACGTCTCACCCGCAGCAGCTTCGCAGTCCCAGCCTCTCCAGGCGTTACGTGCATCTGCCTCTCTCCCCGTGACTGGCTAAGGGAACCCAGGGCTTCTTTCCCAGACCTTGCAAATTAAATGCAGCTTAGTGATGCGCTCTCACATGGAGACGACAAACACGGAGACTCAAATCAATGATTGCAACTGGGTGGTTGAGATGCACCAGTATGGACTCTCCCCCCACAAACCTAACACTGGCCAGCCCCATCCCTGCAAACGAGCCTCCAGGCAGCTCGTGCCACGCAGCACCGTCCCCGCGCTGCTCTGGCAGCCTCCTCCCGGCCTCCCTGGCCAGCTCCGGTCACCCTGAAGCATCAGCTCTGGAGCAGCGGTACCCGGCGTGGCAGGGATCTGCCACAAGCTCCGCCTGCAGGGACTCCGCATTTCCAGAGCTGTCGCTGAGGGATTTCATCCAGGAGGCGAGGTCTGGGCCACCCTTCCCCAGGTGGGCTTAAAGCACCCTAACGAACACAGCTTAAACACTTGCTCAAGAGATGAAAAGGTGAGGTGCCAGCAGCACCCTCCCACCCTGGCACACCTCGCTTAACACAGCCAAAGTCATCGGTTTAGGGTTAAGTATGCCAGCACTGCCCTGGGCTGCAAGGGGTTAAAAATGACGGTTCAGAGACAAAGGAAGAATCCCAGCTTCTACTCTAAGCAAAAAGTGTTTTCTTAAAATGCAAACACCCCCCCCAACTTCCCAAATACGTTAATACTGCACTCTTCAGCTCAGCAGCAAAGGATTCGCTTCTTAGCCACGGCATTAAGAAATACCTGAAGCAACCACGATGAGGAAACTGCTACAAAATACTTTCCCTCAACAGAGTTCACGAATGTTCAGCCAGCTGCCCGACGATCCGTATAAGCAACAAAGCACCCTTATCCTTCCATAAAATCGCATCACCTCACGTTCAGTCAAGTTCAGGATTACATCATCAGCTACTTAAAAAAATAAAAATAATCTGTAGTGTTATCCCCCTGAATGCACTCGTGTCAAAGTCACTGGTGTACGGGCTTCAGTGCCAGGAGGAGAGGCTGCACTTGGCTGCCTCGCCCCCTTAGGATTTTTTTTCTACAACTGAGCTTTGTGGTAATTTCCCTTCCAATCCATCTGTTGAAATGTTTGAGGTTAGCGTTGTGTTGGAGGTATGGGCCACCAGACCTTGTGTTTTAAAATAGATGATATAAAATACTGGCAGGACAATTCCTATCAGGAGCATAATAAAAACTGCGTTCCACCACTGGATCCCACAGTCCGCGCCATTACTGGTCTCCTGCTTCCCTGACTCAGGCAGCGGCCTCTCCCGTGCTTCCGTGCAGTACTCTGCGTTTAGCTGGACCTCCACCTGCACCGCGTCCCGAATGCTCTCGTCGATCCCCTTGAAGTAGTCGCTCAGGCGCCCGCCCTCAGCAGAGCCGCTCGCAGCCTCGTCGGGCTCTGGCAAGTCCACCAGCGTCAGGCCGGTCTGGGAGGGCGCAGTCGGGAGCGGCCTCAGTTCTCTGCCCTTCTCCGTTAACAGCCCGTGGGTCCTCACGGGGATCTTGATGGACTTCAGCGCGTACAAGTCCTGCTCCCGGATGAAGTTGTTGACGCGTTTGATGTCTGCAACCTACAGGATCCAAAAAGGACACGAGTATTAGTGCAGGACAACCCAGCCTTTTACCAGTAGCGAAGCAGGAAGAAGCGGACAAGCAGAAATAAAAGCAAGCCCCGGCTGCAAGCGGCTTAATGTTCTGCAGAGATTTCCCAGCTGCTCCAGGGGTGCTCCGGGTCCTACAGGATAGAGCCGCTCCCGTTAAAGTCTCCAACCTCCACTAGCGCTCATGCCTCTCGTAGGCTGTATCGCGCTTAATGCTGGTTTTCTTTCCTTTTGCTTTCTTTACCCTTCTCTCACTTACTTTCTAATCCAAGTTAAGACAAGAAGAATCTTTGTAACACATCCTTTTAAATATATTTTCATACCTTAAACGGTGCATGAGCTTTTAAGGGGAGAGAACATCAACACGAGCAGGGAAACCCCTCCTCCTGCTTGGAAGGCGATTTCAGAGCAAACAGGGCTCCATCTTGGGAGCATGCGGCAGTTCTGAGGGCAAGATCACCGCCTGGCAGAGAGCAGGCGAGCCTCCCTCCCCCACAGGCAGGAGCACCCTTTGCTCGTGTCCCCCAGCACCGCCCCTCTTCTGCACGCCAGCAGCTCCACAGCGCTCGTTTCTCCACAGCTGGTAGCTGCTCCCGCTGAAGGCACGCTTACGGCAGTAACCTCCGTGCATCTGTCATCATCTCTGGCTCTTCGTGTGCAGGGTCTCCATGTGACCGGTGTTCCCACCCAGCTCGGTGATGCCAATAGCAGTAAGAAGAGCAAGAAAGGACAAACCGTGCTTACAGTGCAAGTCACAAGGACAGCTGGTATCAAAGAAAAGACAAAGGCAAGGCAGCGTTTCTTTATTTAATGTTAAATAAGGAATATAACGTTAATACAGCGCGCATCGACAACCACCTAATAACTAAGTACAAGAACTTCACAATTGCCCTAAATCCTCTGTCACAGAAAACAAATGGGACCGTCAGCGTGTGCCAGGAGCCCTCCAAAGCAACCAAGGGGATGTGAAAGAACCTCAAGGGAAAAGCTGGAGGATGCAAATCAAGGAAAACAGCAAGACCCCAAAGCAAAGCGAAAGGCAACAGGAGCAGGTTAACCACCTCCAATCAGATATCATACAAAAGAGACACAGTATGAGGACTGCACTTTAGGAGAAAGTTTGATTTGTTCTTTCAGAAGTCTTGTCAACTACTGTACGAACCGCATTCCCAAGCCTGAGGCTACCAATGAAACTGGGGAACTAAACCCAAGAAAGTGATTCACTTCCTAAGCAAACCTGTAAGCACCACCAGCGCCCAAATCACCGACAGCCCAGGGCGAAGATCTCCCTTTAACAGAGGATACAGGAATACCCCAGAAGGGAGCCTGACACCTCCTTTGCCACTGCAACAAACACCCAGGGCTACCTGCAGGCTGTGCTGCTGCCAGCTGGCTGCCGCGAGTGGGGAGATCCCAAGGGGAATTCCCACTGGGCCGCAGGAGAGCGGAGCTGCCTCTCCCTCCGTGGATCTGCCCCCCAGCTCGTCAGGGCACCACGCATCAGGCTCACCTACCACGCAGTCCCTGAAAGGCAGCAAGTCTGCTGCGTCACAGCCAGAAAGCAAGGCTCTGCAAAGCTTGAGAACTCTGAAAGTGGGATGTTTGATCTAGATCCTAATCTGGCGCCCCTGAGGCGAAGGGAATCCTCAGTTGCTGGTTAAGACTCCTCACAGCTTGCCCCAACATAACATCAGGACTTAAACCCCACAAAATTATTTAGTTATGAAATAACAATTTTACCCAAAGCCTCCTAACTGAGGTGGCGCTTCAATTTTTTGTTTTGTTCCAATGAAAGCAAATTATTGGGACAGTAAATAGCCCCCGCAGCATCTGAAATCAAACCCTGCAATGTTGCGCTAAGGCTCTGGAAACAGAAAGTGGAGTAGCACGCATGCAGAAAAAACAAACAAAGCTGATGGGAAGCATGCAAGAGCACGCGGCTGCACGAGCCATTCAGGCTTATTTTCTGTACTCTTTTTTTTGGCTGCAGTGAGCTCCTCTTGTCCCAGCTGAGAACAATGCCAGAAGCAGGCCAGGACTATAAATGGTCAAGAGTAAAAATGAGAATTTTAAAGCACTTTGCATCTCTGCCAAGTTATCTGTGGCACCGACAAAGCTGTTTATTGCACTGTCTTAATACCCCCACCCCAAGTAGGCCCTGATAATTCTGAAACCAGTGACAAGTTCTCACTGATCTCAAGGAGAAGCTCACCCTGGATTTTTTAAACACAGTTGCATGTATTTGTGGCTACAAGTCTTCCTTGCTGATGTCCCAGTAGCCTTTCAGGAGCTGCTTAATTGTGCAAGTAAAACAAAATACATCAAAATCGATGGGTGCCAGTCTGTAAACAGACAAATACACAGCTCTCCAATAACAAGGATTTCTGTACCTCTTCAATTTAACCGGAACAAGTCAGAAGTGCCCTTTCTGGAAGGAGGGAGGCAGCAGGAGAGTTTTATTTTTCCTGTGGGAGGGGAACACTGACTACCTGGTCCCTCCCCATCAGCTCGCCTTCCCCACCAGCTGAGCCCAGCAGCCTCCAGCAGGGCAGGCAGAGCAGATCTACCTGCGCCTGCAGGGGCTGAAAGGCTGCAGGAGGAGAGGCAGCAGGGACAGGACTGAGCCCTCCCGAGTTACAGGACAGGGGGCACAGCAGGCTTTTTCATGCCATAAACCAAGAGAATGGTTCAGAATCTTCCTTCCCTGAGTTCAGCAAGCTGCTGTGATTTGGCATCAGCAGCAACAACAACGCAACTGCTACCACTTAGAGATGAGCACATAGCCATGACTACAAAGCCACCCGCTGTAGCTCAGTTCCCATGCTCCACCGGTGCCAATCAAGGCCTATTCAAGTCCTACCAGACTCGCTCCTTCACACGCATCAGGCTCGTCAGCAGAACCTTGAAGGGTTTCTTTTTTGTTTTGTTTTTGTTTCTAAGGGAATGGGAGGGGAGGAATTGTCGCAATTCCTCTAAGCCCTCTTGCTTCAGCTGCACCACACAGCTGTGTTGTTAAGCAAGACAGACTGCAATAGTATTGCAGCGGTGGAGCCAGCACTGTATCATTATCCCCATCCAGGTCGCTGTCCAATTGTTTGCATCATGGAACTTTTTAATCACAGTCTAGCTCACAGATAAAGGAGGCTCTAAAAATACAGCTTTAACTGCTAAACAACGGGGTACTTCTAATGTTTAGAGCAGGCAATTAAACTTCTCGACAGTTTTTCTATAAAGCTCCCTGCTTTGGAACAAAGAAAATGTATTTTGTGGTATGTTCCAACCCCAGAGAAAATTCACCACACTCTCTTCTGGGTAGGACAGCAGACAACCAACACCCACAGGCACAGAGAGCACCTGGACTCTGCCACCCTTTGGCACCTCTCAGTCTGCAAGTCCACCCCTGTTGGACTTAGGCCTTCCTTGCAACATGTAAGCTCTACCTTCCAAAAAAATAAATGGAACCAACCCCAAACCAGAGCCCATCTGAGCGGCAGTTCTTTGTGCTGTTCAGTTTGCTTCAAAAACTGTATGCTCCCCGAGAGCAGAGCTCTCGCCCTCATTCCTGTACTCAGCTTCCTACTGTTTGCCCGCAGTTAAATAACTAAGTACAAATCATGACTGCTACACCGCACTTAAGTCACCCAAATTAAACAGGAAAGCAGGTCACGCAGGATGCGTGGGGTTGACAATATCCTCCTAGATTGTCAGCTGAACAACTCTGTTTGTTTGTCTTTGCCTTTCTGCACCTCAGTTTTACCCAGATATCGACCATTCATGAAATACACAGGGCAAAGACTTTTCAGCGTCAAAACTATCAGACTACAGCACGCCTTCCTGCAATTCTGGAAACTAAGCTACACATAAAATACCTCCGAAGTAATGAAAACCACAGAGACAGAGATAGCTCTTACTTTACAACCATACTGCAGGGCTAGCTTGTTAAGATTATCATCCTCTGTAATCTCTCGCTCCAGAAGTACCACGTCTCCGACTCTGTCCCGAGAAGTGCTGCATCGCTGCTGCTCCTTGCCCCTCGGTCGCAATTCCATAACATTGAGCTCCTCCTCTGATGACTCCTCGGAATCAGATCGGCCATTGGGAAACACATACACCTGCCTGCCCGGGTAATTGTGGATGGTGACAGGAGCCTGGAAGGATCTTGTCCGGCTCTCATTCAGCCTCATCTTTTATACCAGCACCTAGAACAAAAAACCAGACATTTTTGATTTCCGTAAAACTCATGTTTATTGCTTAGCATGCAAGTTATGGGAGAATGGACAAAAAGCACGGTCATTTGCACGCGTGCACACATGCACAAAGCTTTCCTTCTACCAGAGCTTCTCAGGGGCAAACTCAAAAGATGCCACTCTAACAGTGATGACAGAAATACCACAAACCTTACGCGCACACACTTCAACAATGGCCACATTCTTTTCAAACCTTTTTTGGTCTACTTATGGAGAAACACCACTACATAACACTACTTTGCTATGCATCTGAACTACTACTTTCTGTAATTTCCTAAAAAAAAGCAGCAGAGTCACTTGATCCAAGAGTCTTTAACTATGGTAAAAATAAATAAATAAATCCATGGGACTGGAACCACCGCATCAGATCTCCTACCAGTATACATTAAACACTGACCAGAACTATCCTTTGTGTCAGCTTCCCAGAAGTCCCCACTTCTCTTCACTTTAAGAATCCATGTTTTAACTTCATGGAAGTACACTTTTTTTTTTTTTTTTAAATAAGGACAGCTCAAGCCACACTTAACTTCAACCTGAATGACAAGGTCATTTTGTTGTATAAAAACAAGAACCTGCCTGAGCACTTTAATTACTGCTAGGCCTATGGCAGCAAGTTATTAGGAAGCTATTATCTCTTCTTTTTTTTTTTCCCCTTCAATCCCCAGCTCCACAATTTGTTGTCAGGGTCAGGTACAGGTAAGAAGAGCCCAGGTTCTCACAGAACTCCACCGGCCGTTCCCAGCCTACCCATGAGGGGCTCCCAGGGCGAAACCACTGCCATTTCACGGCACCCCGTTCGCACGGCTCGCAGCCCCCGCAGG